GTATCCTATTGCAGAGACATTTGTACATCCATGTTTGTTGCTGCTTTTTTCACAATAGCTAAGAGATGGAAGATATCTAAGTGCCCCTGAACTGATGAGTGGTTAACAAAAATGTGGTATATTTACACAATCTCTACTCAGCAGCAAAGACAGATAAAATAATGAAATTTGCAGGTAAATGGATGGAACTAGAAACTGTTATACTAAATGAAGTAAAACAGACTCGGGAAAAAAAAAAGTATATTCTCCCTCATATGTGAATTCTAACACCAATTCCTTATAAGTGAGTATGTATCCAGACATAACTACAGGAACCAGGATAATGAAAAGGAGCCAGGGAGTTAAAGGAAGAGAAAGGATCTGAAAGAGAAGAACAGTAGGAAACAGGCTTTAATAAAGGAGATATACATAAAATTGGGATTATTTTAAGGGGAGCAGGAGGGAGGGTTATTCAAGGAACCTTGGGGATAAAGGGAAAGAAGGAGCTCAGGAGAGGTGGGACCATAGGAGAAAGGTATTACTAAGGGAGAAATGGGGAAAATGGGGAAACCATGATGAAAGTGTTAGACAATGCAAAAGATAAATAATGCCTAGCTAGTTTTAAAAAAACAGAGAGAACCATATTAATTGAACAACCTACTGACAATTATACATACAACTAGCTCAAGGAATATAATACATGTCTAGGCAAGGTTTATCTGAGAACGTTTAGTCTTTGCCCAAGCTTTATCTATATAACCCATGGTAATTAAAACTACCAGACTGGTAGAACTAACCTTCTTGGATGTTTAACTGCCATACTTTGAGGCCTATACTAATTTGGTCAGAGGGACAAAAAGGAGAGTTTTTGCTCCTTGCCCTCTTAGGTTGATTAAGCTCCAGGGAACTATGAGTATCTTTCAAAGTGTCCTGTAACTATGGTGAGTCACCTGTCCTCTTGATCAATCAGTCCATGAAGACCTCACTAAATGGACTTGAACCATTGCCCAGTCTACAAAGAGGAGAGTCAACACACAGGAAACATTTCCTTCATGCTTCCAAGTGAAGCCAGCCACAGTCGAGCAGGACCTTTGACTTATGTTCATATAGATGGGCCTGGTAAAATAAAGGAGCCAGGGGTTCCTCCGAAGCCCATGTGACCCATGAGGAACAGAACCACAAACGACCTTAAGAGGAAAAATGAATTGGTTTATCTGGGTGAACTATATGGTCTTAAACACTCAAAAAGTATAATCAGAGATTAAAGGGATCAATATAATTCTTTAAGAGTCCATGTGTGTAGCTAAAAGCTACAGAACATG